GCGCATAGTGCGAAAACAGAACAATATCCAATTGGCTATGTATCGCACGCATACCGTAAATATTTGACGCCACCGCATTGCTCTCTCATACAAAAAAGAGAACTTCACGCGATTCAATACACAATGCATGGATCAAGCCACTTTGCGGTAGTAGCGTCGCTCAGTTTATAGTCAGAAAAACACACTTACACAGGCGCAGCGGTGTGTGCGTTCTCTTTCTCGTTTTTGTCTGATCTCTCTCAAACTGTCTCTCTCGCATATACGGTGGCATCGCAGTCAGTGGCCACAGCGGCTGTGACTGTGTGAGTATGAGTGTGTCTTTTCTCCCTGAATAGCTCCGCTGCCGCAACGACTCACTTTCTCAGACAAAAAAGAGAAAGAAAACGTGCGCACTTCTGTGTCGGTGTGAGTGAGTTTCTTTTGACTGGCGACTGGACGACGCCGCAAGAGGCTCTTTTCATTCGTGTATGAAAGTGCGTCGAGTTCACCCGCAATAAAATTGCATCATATACACTGTTCGCAAATATTGTTTGTTTCAAAATCTGTGTTTTTTTGTTCATTTCTAAAATGTTCAATGGAATTGGAACTTTCTTATATCGATTGAACCTATTTGTAGATTAAAACAAAATACAATTCTTCTAAAGAATTTAAATTGACAATAAGGTGTTTAATTTAAATCTACAAATAGGTTCAATCGATATATTTTTGTCACTTTGCGTCCGAAAGACATTCTTTCTTTGGAACTTTCTTGATTTTTCCATTTTGCTATACAATGTGGAAATATCATGAGGCTAAATTTTTGAGTGAGCAAAAAAGTGTGGTGATTTTTTTGTGTGTGCCTTTTTGTTGAAAAAAAAATAAATTTCGGTTCAATAATATCTTCTCATAAAGAATGGTAAAGAAAGAATGAAAAAAAAAACGTGACCGACTTACTTCCAAACTCAATTCCAAAGAATATGCCGAGGTTTGAGTGAGACTTTTTTTTTCATTCTCTCTTATTCATTCTAGCCGGCTAATTAGCCGAAGCAGTTTACACTGGCTAACGAATGTGTATACCAGTGTGAACTGAACGCACTCACACACTGATGACAGTTGTGAGTGACGTTTGTGATTGGCGAACACAGAGTTTAAATGAAAACATACGTCGATTGGGTAAGTAACTTTTTTTTGCAAAACAATCTATATATTTATGGTTTAAAATAGAAATGCCGATTATAAAATAATATAATTTGCAATATTATTTACTCATTTTTTATTTGAATGTGTTTGCAGTCTATACGATAAGAATAATAATAAGAAGAAAACAACAATTATTGTTGTTCATTTGTTCAGCAAAAAAGTTTGACGTACGTATCCGAAACAAAGCATAATTGCAATTTTATGCAATATTTTTAATTTTTTTGAATATTCTCCAGGAAATTCGTACGAAAATGGATAGCAAATGCTATAATTGCTATGAACCAGGCCATTTGAGCATCGATTGCCCACATCCACAGAAATTCACCCGTTGCTATTTATGCCATCGTGTTTGTGAAACGTCAGATGACCACTACTGGGCCTGCACAAACCGTGACTTCATTTCGCAGCCGATCGAAGACGCTGACAATCCAGTACGAAGTGCGACATTGATGGCGGACATGAAATTTTTCACCAAAGGCACCGTATATTTGATGGACGGTGGTCAGCCGATCAACGTAAGCGGAAAATTTGCGCCAATTCAAATCGACTCAAACTATGGTTTGGTACTCGGTAGAGACAAAAAGATCAACTACTATAATTGGTATCCGAGCGCAACGCGCCGATGCGTAATAAATGTTTTATGTGGTGATAACGTACGTTTGTCGGTTCGATTGATGAAGGATTTTTTTGTAATTAACAAAAAAAATCCGCGTACGTTCTAATGGCACAGTCGAATACTGAACCGAAATCCCGGAAAACGAAATTTCACAGGCAGATGCTACATTCAAGGTTCAAACAGATGAAACACAAAAGTTCAATTTCGCAATTTACTTCTTTGGTCGATGCTTCACTTTTGAAATAACAAGCGACGAAATTAAATATCTGCCTCCGGGATGGTTCGGTTTCGATTGTTCCATTTGTTATGAAAGTATGGTTGGTAGAGACGTCAAGATGACTGCCTGCGGCCATCTGTTCTGCACAGGTTGTATCTATCAATCGTTGTACGAACGATCCCATTGCCCAATCTGCCGAAAGCCTGTCACCATGGCGACTTTACGGGATATTTTTTTATACAACTAAAAAAATGTCAAAGAAACGTACGAATTTAAATAACGAACAACAATATGATGTCAATGAATATTTACACATGAAATTTAAGTTGACAAATTAGAAATAAGTTCCGAACTGAAGACACAAACTGAAATTAAGTATAGAATTTAAGCAACTGAAGTAACACAATTATTTTCTAATCATTCGTTTTCACAATTGATCAATCAAACACATTGATAATATGCGTACGTACGAAAACCAAAAAAAAAACAGTGTGATTTATTTTCATAGCTAACGAAAGCAATTATTTGAAGCCACACAACTGTTGATGTGTATCACTAAATATATTAATAAACGTACGTAATAAAATAAAAGTTCTCACTCTTTTAATTTATAACATTTTTATTGTTAAATAGATTTTGGAAAGAAATATGCAACCATGAATGCCATATAATGTAGATTGTTTCGGCGGTTTGTATCGATTGTTCATTTTTACTTCAACTAATTTACATTTTTTTGTGTTGTTTTAATTGGTTTGGGAAATTCATCTTCGTTGTCTGAGAAAAATACCATTTCATCATCATCATCATTAATACTTTCGTCCAAAATTTCCTGAATGCGATCAATGTCGTCTTCATCGAGACCAAAGCCATAGTTCTGGTTGTTGTTGCCTCGATCGTCATTCAATGCTGATGGGTGAAATGTTCCGAAATATTTCATTGCTTTTTCGTACGAATCTGTAAAGACGAACAATTCTCTTTTGTTATTTTCTACGATTGAGTGAGATATTCATTTGCAAACTTGTATGAAAAATTTACCAAAACATTTCAAAATTGATGCTCTGTATAAAGCAGGCTGTCCGTTTTCAATTGACTCAAAAATATCCAACGTAAAATCGGGTTCTTTGTTAATGTCTTGCGAAATATAAACCAAATGCAACTTTCTTTTGTATGTAATTACACCATCGTTGAGCAATTTTGGCAGATCCAAGTCCTTGACCCATTTCATGGGAACAATTTTCTTTTGGCCAGATGATTTCAATGATGTTAAAAAAAACATCGTGCGCTGGAGATGTATGTTACTGAAAACCGATAGAAAGAGACTGTTTGCCGCCGTTTGAATGTTTGACGTTTGTCTGTTTCACATTGGTGCAAGTGTCAAAATGGAATAAACATAAACAACGGTTAATTTTTCAGTTTTCACACTATAGTTTGACATTTATACGTACGTTACAGAACATTCTGGAGAAACAAACAATATTTCATTGCAACATTTTCATTTTTAAGCAACAATCGTACGCCAGTTTGAAACTATTTTTTTACATTTTGATAATGAATATTTCGATTGATGACGTTATTGGAAAAAATATTAAAACTTTTATTGAGTGTTTCGAACAAACAAAAACAGTGGATGAAAAATTGATTTATGTATGTTCTGTCGATGGATGTCACAATGAATATACGGAAAAGTCCTCAGCTATTCGTCATCTTCGAAAACATCACAAAAATGTATATGAAAGTATTCGGTGTGGAAAAATAGAAGAAAAGGTGGACAAGAATAAATCGCAGCCCGCGTTTCATATTCGGGTTAAAGTAAATACCGATGAAATTTTGGATGCTTGTGCTGAACTGATTACTGTGCACGAGATGCCTTTGTCTAAATTAGACAAGTAGTTTTATCTCGCTAGATGGCGCGGGTTACAGTTGGGCTTTTAGCCCGAACGTGCGGCTTATAAATGATTGTAATTGTGACCAACTTCAGGTGCTGCGTGTCACACCTAGCGATAGTGTGTGCGCGCGGAATAAAATGCTCTTATATACAGTCTACATTCCAACTAAACCAGACGTGTTTTATTTCACTTTCTCTACCATTGTTGCAGCCGTAAACAGCCTTTATGCGCTGTTGAATATCTAGCCTTCAAAAGAATATTGAATCCGTACGTTTTGGCCTTGAGAACGAAAGGCATCGAATTGGTGATCAACCAACGGAGCATCAAAGATCATATCAAATGTCGCAAGAATGAAATCAAGAGAATTATCAGGAATGAAACCAAAAAGAAAATGGTGTCACTGATGATTGATATAGCAACACGGTATAATCGGTCGGTACTTGGCGTTAGCATTTCGTACATGCATGATGGTAGAATTTGTGTTCGTACGATTGGGTTGCACGTGTTGAAGGTCTCACACACAGTAAAATACATTAGAGATTTACTCAAAGAGATGCTCTTGGACTACGAAATTAGCTTGGCACAAGTTGTGTCAATAACTTGCGATAATGGAAAAAATATGGTGAAAGCAATAACACTTCTTGACGCCAGTGTTGTCTAGAATGAGAAAAAATATATCTAGATACAGATGAGATAACTGTCGATTTATTTTTATATCATCTAGATAATAGATGAGATAATATCTGATTTTTTTTATCTAAACATAAAAAGATAAAATATTATCTTATCTTTAGAAAGATAACGGAAAAAGATATATTATTCATATTGTTTTATTTCTCTTATTTTTTTCGTTTACAAAAATCGAAACATTATATTCGAATAGGTTGAAGCTGTTTTTTTGTTCATAAATTTTTTTGTCAAGTATTAAATTGGTCAATTTGACGAACTTTGTCGGTTCATTTTGGCGGTTTTGTTTTTCTTATTTTTTTCGTTTACTTAACGAAACATTACATTTGAGTAAAATGAAGTTGTTTTTTGTTCATACATTTTTTTGTCAAGTATTAATTTGGTCAATGTGACGAACTTTGTCGATTCAATTTGTCTAAACTTTGTCTTTAACCTCCCGGTTGTAAAGGTTGGCCAATGCAGTTACGATGTCGACTTCATTGTTTGTTATCAGTGTAACGGCTGCACCCTTTTGGCCAAATCGTCCGGCGCGACCAACGCGGTGAAGAAAACTTTTCGTGTCGCAATCACCGGCTTCATTCAATGGCATGTCGAAATTGATGACCAATTTGGTGAACGGGATGTTGATACCGCGAGACATCAAGTTTGTCGAGATGAGGATTTTCTTTTCACCCGTTCTGATCTTTCGAAGAGAACCCAGACGTTCATCCTTGGACATTGTACCATCGATCGCTGACACACTGTAACAGTTCATTACAAACATCCACTTCAGCCATTGTACGGTTTGACGTTTCTAGAATATAAATAATAAATATGTTCAATATTATTGAATCAAAAAAAGTCACAATTTGTTCCAAAAACAACCTACGTTGCAAAAAACCACAATGCACAATGGATCACCATGAAACTTTCGGAACATCGCATCGATGATTTTGGAAGTTGCCTCGAATTTGTGATATTCATCAAAGCATTTGATGAAGAAGTATGACAAATTGTCCAATTGTTCCTCCTGTCGTGGGATGAATGTCGCATTCATGAGGCCGTAATTCTTGCCAACTGTAGCTGACGTCAGCACTACTTGGCATCTTTTCGTCAAGTTGACGCTATTTATCAATCTCAAAGATCTGCGTCGAATCAGAATGGATCAAGTCATTTTCCAGAACCAACGAATGAAACGAACGATGATGATAATGAAGACGAATATTATATCGATCCAGATATTTTTGATGACGAATATTATAATGATTTACTAGAAGAAGTTCGTTCTGGATTTGATGAAACATTTGATTTAATACAAGCAGTTTCCTGTGGCGCACATTGCATTCATCTCGTAGTATCGCACGCAATAAAAAATTCACCAGAAACCAAACTTGTTATAGAGGACTGTCGTACGTTGGCAAAACTACTTCGAACGCCTAGTTTTCGTACGAAATTGCAGTTGGCAAACTTTAATATGGCGATGATAGATGTAACGACTAGATGGAACTCAATTTATTCTATGGTATTTGTTTTTTACAGCAAAATTGCTTACAAAATGTTTCATTTTCGTTTTTTTTAGCTGGAACGTCTGATGAAACTAAGGCCATTTTTGGATGCAAATCAGCTTGTGAAAGAATTCAATAACATAGAATGGGATGCTATTACTTTTTCGCACGCCCATGTCGTGAGTAAAAGTATTGTAATCACTACGAAACCTAGGTACCCCGAAAAACTATTTTTCTATCCATTTTCAACACCAAAAAGCACGATACAGTGGTTATTTTGCTATGTTAATGTGGGTGTGTCGTACCCTGTACGCTGTGCGCTGTACGCTGTACGCAAAAATTTGTTAGCACGATTGCTCAAATACCAGAATAGGAAACGAAATTCTGCAAGTACCAAACGTTTGTGCTTCGTTAGACTTGGAAACCATTAAATTTCCAGCCACCCCAGATGTACCCTAGGATACCTAGCCTATGAAAAACCTTCAAAGAATCGAACTTTTGTTCGGGAGGTACCCAAAATAGGCTACCCAGGTGGGTTTTATCATGCACACCCGATTTATTTCATCAAAATAATAGGGGTCAGGAACAACCCAGCACCCGCCAACCCACCTTTTTGGTATTAAATTTTCCCATGTTGGAAGAGGATGAATTTTACTACGAAATCGAAGACTTGTGTGAAACTACAAAGAATATATACAGATCTAGAATCAATCACAAATCAAATTGTTGAAACAGAATTCTTAAATCATTTGTCAATCGATATGTTCATTATAAATTTGGTGAACGCAAACAGAACCATACCATTCAACATGCATCCAGTCTGCCATGGACAAAAACAAGAGCGATACAAACGACTTCTAGCCGAACGAGACGATCTGCAAATAACATATCAGCGGCCAGGCCAGCTTTCTTGGCCATTACACCACAGTTCACTATACAGTCTACACGGAGAGGGCAATCATGGCAAAAGATTGGACGTATATCAACGAAACATCCTCACTCGCCTGTGCCCCGGAGCACAGTATCAATTCATCGAACCGGCAACGTTGCAACCAGATGGATGTTACTGTGGAATTGTCTCGATTACATACGCCACAATTTTTTTCTGAAAATTTTTATAAATTTCCTAGGCAAAATCTGAATAAAAGCTGAACGCTATGAAAACGGTGCGGAAAAGTTCGTCTTACGGAGGTAAGACTATTTATACAAAATATTATCAATATTCTTGGACCATTCAACAAGTACAGCAAGAAACTGCAGTCGGAAACGGTAACATTGTCTGATTTGTATGGATACTGGATGTTGCTCCGAATAAAAGATTCCAAATCAGATCATGAGCTTTCGAAGCAGCTGTTGGTCGAAATGAATGGCACATATCACCAGAGGCTTGTGGAAAATCCAGCAGTAATTGGATTTATCCTCTCTGCTAGTGTTTGGTTCTCCGTCTCCTTCCGTTCTAGCGTCCGTTGGCATAGTAGCTTCAACGACTGGATTATTTGGGGCAGCGAGCACAAGTAACCCGACTTCGACCACTCGACTAGCCACCATTCAGTGCGATCAGAGTAAATAAGCCAAAAACTGATGCCAAGTCATTACACCTAGCATTACACGGAACGCCACTTACACAGCCGAACAGATTCCTAAACAGTTTTGGAACAATTGCCGCTCCTAAATTTGACAATAAAAATGCAACACCAACCTTTGGCGGCATTTCAAATAGAACTATAACAACGCCCAGTTCAACGAGTATATTTGGAATTTCTCAAGCAACCTCTGTGTTGGAATCCAGTAATATTTTTTCGACACAACCGAATCAAAATACAAATTCTCTGGCAGAATTTAGAAATGAACGAAAACTGTAATTTATGAATTTTCTGTTCATTCAGATATCAAAAACGTAATTACTTTGATACGAAAAGAACTAAACTTTATTCAATTGTAGCTGATTTTGAAAAGTTCTATCGAAATGCTGTATCTATTACCATTTGATTTTTTTTTTAATTTTTTGATATTATTATGAATTTGTTAGTGCGAGGTGCTCGTTCCATCCATTACGGATCCGATTGTCGAAGCAGGTGCATAAACATACAGATAAGACTGAAAATATAAATATATGAAATTGATTGAGAAAGAGACAGGGAGAACAATAACAACATATGCTCTCATTGATTAAACTATACTCACCAATGCAGTTTCAATCTCTGTTCGATTCCCATACGATGCAAACTAATTATACGAGAAACTGCATCTAGTGAAAGGAACTTAGATAGATCCATTGCTAATAATTCAAGACATTCATTATAATCTGCCCGGAAAAATTCATATTCCAATTGGCCACCCTTGTCACGCAAAATTCTTTCTTGTCTTTGTTAAATTATAAAATAATAATATATCCCACATAAAAGATATTGAATGTAACGAAAATTCAACAAAGACAAGAAAGAATTTTGCGTGA